CCTACATTCGTTTGTTCTTCTCTTTCAGTGCACTCTAACAAACCTGTGTGCACTCTACCTTGATTTGTACTTAGGTAGGATCTTGTAAGCTTTTACCTAGTTAGCTTGTTTTTTAGGAAGAATCCTAGCTCTGCTGGACCTCCCTTTTCACCCAGAATATCTTTTTTTATGTGTCTATTAAACTTGCAAGGCTGTGCCTGATCTTTTCCTTGTGGTGAGCAGATCCCTCGGTCCTCTTACTGTCACACACTGTGCAAAATAATGCTGTAGATGCATAGTGTATCTTTTTTTATGTTTGGTATATATTTGTTTTCTTACTGATACTGTTTATTTCTCCTGAACTCTTTTCAGGCAGAGATGCATAGTTCATCCCTGTCTCATCACAGCCTTAATTCCGCTAAGGCTTACCCAGAATTATTCATTGTTTGGTTTAGTTTATGTGTAAAAGCAGTGGTAATTTTGAAATATTTCTCTGTCTTCACTGCTAACTGTGAGAGCAGAGGTTTGGAGTTAGATATTTATCTATGACTTTGCCCACTTCTAGCCAATTTTTTTGATGCTTCTCCAAGACAATGTTGATTGGAATGAAGCTTTATAATTTAGTTTTCACATTGAATTATAGTGAATGAATTTGCAAGGTGTTAGAGTCAAATGTAGGCATACAGAGACAGGTTTGTATAGCATACCTCTGAGTAAAGAAAACTCTTTTTTGTTAGTAAGCTGCCACCCACATCAGTGATGATATCATATCCTTTGAAAAAATAATATGGCTTGTTCTTTGGAAATATGTACAAGGGTTTGCCCTTCCTGAACAGAGAGAATATAGAAAGGTTAAACATACATAGTTCTGTCTTACAAAAGTAAATATTAGGAACATTATTAAGCCTCAAATTACTCCAGTTATGTGGAGATAATTCTTAGTAGCTGACAAAGTACACGAATTTGCTTTAGAGTTCTCCCAGCCTGCACATAGGCTGTGAAACTCTGTGTAGGTATGTCTTTGGTGTTTCCTGTGTGAACTTTCCTCATCTTATTAGTGTCTCCTGGCTAGCCCTCCCCTCCCTTCCCTCCGTCATCAGTTTTTAGTTTGTGTTTGATTGTATTCCTTAATAAAGCAGACATTCCAGCCAGGAATTAATATAAAAGTTGAATATTATGCATTACAAGCAATGTAGTATAGTAATTTGTAACATATCCCTTACTGGTTCACCTGTATTCAGTGGCTTGTGTAATCTCTCAGAATGAGTCCTTTCAGATAGACATCTAGGTGGTAAAATTTTGCAATGGCAAAACTGTGAGCATTAGGACAAGGAACTATTTAAAATGTTTGATTTAGAGTCCCAGTAGTGTAAATAAGTGCACCACATTTCAATTAAGTGCTACTTTAGAGAAGGATAATGTTAAAATTGAGGCATAACAAGAACAGACTGATATTTTTCAGAGCACATCTCACTGTCCAACTATACATGTATTATGTTAAATAAAAAAATGACTGTTACAGAGGGGAAGTAATGCTAAAAGATGGGTTGTAAGTATCTCTTATGTCTGAAACTTTTATTATTTCCACTGTAAGTTATAGCTGTGATCGGAAATATTATTGTTAAAACTTCAAGTTTATAGTATCAAGTTTTCTTTCCATATGAAAAATGTTCATGTTTAAGGGAGGTGTACGTGTGGGGTGACACATCTAAGGTAGTCTAACCCAGCCTTAGAGGTGTCATCAAATGAAAGTCTCTCCTTCCTGCCTTTCCTTTCTCTTGTCCATATGGTGACACAGTTGAGAGTGCAGGAAAAACATCAAGCAAAAAGATAAAGGCTTTCCCCCTTTCTTTATGTAGTTTTCTGTTGGTATTTGTCCCTGAGCCAGGTCACCATGAAGTCTGACAAATGCTTGTTCCATTGCTGTTTATTCAAGAGAAGTGGCAGGAGTTTATGGTTAGGAGGACTGCCTCTTAGCCATCTTAATCTATGGATTCAGGATGTGATTTAATACGATAGACTCATAGCTATTCAGGCAACATATCCCACCCCCATTTTATTTGAACACTGGATATACCTTATTGAAAGGGCTACTGTGAAGCACGGACTCTTATGTGGGCAGATCAGTTAAGTACCAATTCCTTTTGCTCATCTACGTTGGCTTCTGCTAAGAAGTTTACTTGTATAACCACATTGACAAAGGCTTAATAGAGTATTTGTGTTACATAATGTGGTTGAGTCTCAATTAATCTGCAAAATATACACGAGAGGCTTTCCCGTGGTAATTCCAATTAAGGTGAGCTGCAACAGGGTTCTTCAGTAACTTCACTGGTTTTAAACATTGTGTCTGCAGATGGAGGAGGAGGACCTAAGTGAAAGAGGATTGCCACAAATTGCTTCAATCATGAATAGAGTTAGAGACTTGAAAAACAAATACAGAAATGAAGACAATATCACAGATGAACTTAACTGTACTAAAATCTCAGCTGATACAACAGGTATGTGTTTTTGTTACTCTGTTGTCACTTACACAACTGATCTTAATGGCTCTTTCACTCTTAGTCTAGGTTAACCGAGAGGATTTAAGGTTTAGCATTTCTTCAGTATCAATGACCACAAAATACATTTAATCTCTCCTTGTTTCTTTAGTTAACTGTGTTGCTCTAATCTTGTGTAAAACAAACAAACAAAACCCCAAAACAACTCACTAGTCTTATGTGAAAGCTTATAAAAAGTGTTTTCTTCTGTTCATATTTTCTGGAGTTTTAATCAATCTCCTGTGTTATTTTTCTGTCAGATAACTCTGGAACTGTTAATCAAATAATGATGACAACAAATAATCCGGAAGATTGGCTGTGTTTTTTGCTTAGGCTAGAGAAAAAGGGTATTCCTCAGATGGATGTTAGCCTACTGAATAGACTCATTGGTCGCTACAGTCAAGCAGTGACTGCATTACCTGCAGAAAAGCATAGTCAAGATGAGAGCTATGCTCGCATCCTTGTGAGATTTGCTGAATTGAAAGCGTAAGTATAAATTTTCAATTTTCGATATAAGAACTCATCATTTAGAATTCTGAATTTGAATGATGATAAAAATAGTTCGTTTTCAGTAGTAGTTTCTGCAACGAATTATCATTTTGAGTAGGGATGTTTTCATATTGACTCCTTGAAACTCTGAGCAGCTTTGGCTAGTCAGCTTATCTGTTGTCTGCACAATGCTTGCATTTTTTTGTATGTGCTAATAAACATGATTGTTCAGAGCTATTTGATTCAGAGATGTTAACACATTTTTTTTTTCTGGGTTCTAAGGTACATGGGAAAATAGCATGAGACCCTTTTTTTTTTTTCTTCAGCTTTATATTTGATCTCAGAAGAAGCTGTATGGGTGAAATCTGATATAACTTTGGGTAACTATATTCTGTGTATTAAACTGTGTATGTTGTAAGTTAGGATTAATTTCCCTGTGGACTTCTATAACTGATTTGGCTGTGACAATTTGCTATTATCTAATCCACGTAGTCAAACCATAGTGGTGTATCCTTGTCTAGTCTGCTTTCTCCCTTGCTAGGAAAGATGCATCCCAGCTACATTAAGTAGCTGCCTTAGGGTAGGAAGAATGTCTCAGAACATCATTCTATACTTATGAAATTAGTTTTGATTGTGGCCATTTATTGCTTTCTTCAATCCAAATTTGAACAGTGTGGTTGTTCAGATGTTTTCAGACATACATTGGGACAGGGTTATAATTTAATTTTTTCATAAGGAGTTCTTTTGTCACTTGAAATACTGTGACAGCGAATATTTCGATGAAGAGCTATGTTTTAACATTGCAGCAATCCTTAACAATTAGAGTTGAGCAGATGATCCTCCAGTGCATATAGCTAGTCTCTTTCTGTTTCTTGTATGTCCTCCCATTTGGCTTTTTGGCAGGTGGCTTGATCTTGTGTTATGATATGGTCTACTTCTTTGTCTGTACTGTCATTTGCATGGATATTGCTGCATCAGTGTTTATTAAAAGTATACAATGGAAGTAATCTGTTGAATCTATTGTTGAGAAACAAGCAGGAGTTAATAATGACCTGCTGTGAGTCCTTAGTGTCTTGGAGAGGTAAGGTGTTTTTGTGTAAGAGGAGTAAAGCATATCCTCCAGAAAGACCTCTTGTCTTTAAAGATACTGAGTGGCAGCATTCTTGTTCAAAGTTTTAGCTGCTTTCCCTCAGAACAGACATTGTGTAACATGGGCTTCCAGCTCACTTTCCAGAATTTGTTTTCTAGAATGGTGATTGGATGCTGTTATCAAGTCACATCTGTTATCTTGTTACGTGCAGTAGGAGTTGAAGTTCAGAAAGATTATTTCCTACATCCCTAATAACTTTAAAACTCTTGGACCTCTTTCCATTTGATCTTTAAAACATGGTTTTAAAGGTGAATACTTCTTAAATGGATACTAGAACTGTGCTCGGTATTGTGTGTATTGTATTGCAGAAAGCAAAACTGAAGGCACTGTCAGTAGCCTGTTAATGCTAGAATGCAGGAATATTATTAACAGTTGTAACTGCAGTGTCCCACTGAAATGTCTTCAGTTGCTTCACTGCTACAGCCTTCAGGGACCCTCTTGGGAGAGTAGTCTATCTTGTTTCACTACTGAAATGCACTCTCTATAGCTGTACTAAAATACCTTCTGCGTTGGTAACCAGCATTACTGTAGAATCTACCTAGCTCACTGGGTAGTTCAGATCTGCTCTTTTCGTCTTCTACTTTGTATCTTAATTGGCAAATACCATCAGTCATATGTTTCCTGACTTGATGATGAAAATTATTTTTAAAAGAAGATGAACAACCCACTCCCAAACCCCTCTTAAAAACGTACCCACCAAAATCTGACATAGTATCAATCCCAATGGAATTTTGCTGTATCTTCCTAAATGGTCCCCCATTTGAAAATTACTTTGAGAGATTAGCCAGTTCTTAATAATGTATTATAAACTAATGTTTTCTTATGCATTTGTGGTGTATAATATAAAGTCAGTTATTTATGTGAAACTACATTTATGAACTACACACGTAACCTCACCAGAACATGAAATTGCTTTTGACTGATCAGATCTAAAAAACAACAACAATGTTGCTTGTTTGTAGTCTTTGGAGATTAAGGTTAAATTAATCCATGAGTGGTTATTTGGATCTTTTGTTTGGATCTTTTGTTTGGCATGTTCACTTATTGCTTGTAATTTTCTTGGTGTTTGAGATTTCCTTGGTGCTTCAGACTTACCTTCTCTGCTCCTGGCTGTCAGTCTAGTACTATCTATTTGTCTCTGCTCAGTTTCAGCTTCTGTTAAAGAAAATCATGTAATCTCAGGACTTCCTAGAGTGCTTCTGATTTATTTTTTTAGCTATTGCAAATAAAGTAACACTGATACATAGGTGCTCTGGTGGTACTGCCTTTGGTGAGAGAAGAAAGGTGCTCTACAGTGGAGTTCTGTTTGCTGTTCTTCCAAATGTTCCACTTAACAGGAAAAGCAAGTGAGAGCATCACAGACTTCGGAAGCGGTGACAACAGCTTGAGATTTTCATGTCTATTGGCATCAACACTTTTTTCTTCTGATCAAAGCTGGATTATTCATTGTTGGCACTGGACCTGTCTTCTCATGGTATCTTCTCTAGCTGGAGCCTGACTATTCCAAAACTTTTTGACCTGTTATGGTACTGAGGTTGTTTGAAGAACCCTTGAACATACTCTGAACCAGGCAAAAGTGAACAGCCAGCTGCATCTGTGATTGATTATCTGTATCGCACATTAACTATGCCAGGCCTGGTCTCATGTAATGCTTCTGGCTGTAGCACAGTGCCACCAAGTGTGTGGCACTTGATGCCTGTTGCTAACATTAGGTCTTGTTCTGCATATTGCTATCCAAGTCATTGCTGCTTTCTACAGGAACTTAAATTTTAACATGCTTTTTGAAAGTGAATGTAATTCACATGTTACAGCTTAGTGTTTGTTACTCTGACTTTGCCTGCAGATGAGTTATTCTTGCCTGTCCTATGGCTTTGGATGATCAGAGCTGAGTTTATTAAACTTACTGGAGTCCAGTAACATGCCTAAACTATGATAGAGATTTTTTTTCATTCTTAATTCCACAGAATTCTACTGGAAATATGTTTTCTTTGGCTTTCCGTGTTGTATTTTTCTGTATTTATTTTTCAAGTCATTGTCATAAATTTTTCATCATCCCCACTTGTAAGTACTGTCTTTGTTTACCTGTTGAACCAGGGTGGAATTTTGGAAGAAATCCCTTTATTTCTCTTGATCGCAGATTTTGCGAATAAAAACTCTTTTTTTATTTTTTCTTACACACACATATATATATATTAAAAAAGGGTGAGGGACTCCATTGGAACATAATGTTTATTTTGTAGTGATATAGATTCGGGCCTTTTATATCTTGACAAGTGTTTACTTAAGCTGTAGATTCCCTGGAACACTTAAATGTTGGCGTACTGTGTGCAAGTATCTCAGGTGTCCTACTTAGCAATCTATGGCTGAATGTAAAACTAGGATTAAAATTCTGTAAAAGTAAAGCAACTATTAAATGTGAAGTATCTTGTCTGGACTTTGTGGCACAATCTCTACGGTTCTGAAATACACTGTTTGCCATTGCTACTTCTGGTGTGTCTGCAGAAAACAGACTTAAATCCACCTTGTGCTATGAAATTTAGCTGATAAGACTGTGTTGCCTAGGACTATGGGGAAAACGGAATTAATTCCATGCATCTTGTAAGGAGTTGATGTTCCCATAGAATCCTTGAATAGAGGTAGCTATTGGATAAATGCTCTTGTGTCCTGGTTTTGTATAGGTATGGTATTACAGATGTACCAACAGAAAGAACTTCTTCAGTGACCTACATCTCTGCTAAGGGAATCTGACAATTTTGGTACAGTTGCAGACACTCTTCAGTGTAGAAAAGCTCATAACCTCTAGCAAAATTTTGGAGTTCAGTATTGCTTTAATCTAATAGATTAGAAACTTTGTGACCATATTGCTGTAGAATATAACTAATAACTAATAATGTATATAATATTTCTTCTGACTTGATTAATACAATACATTTTTCCACACTTGGTGTTTCTAAAGCAATCTCCTCCCTGTCCCCCTGCCTTGCAGCCTCCTTCATGTAGAAGTGGATGCATTTAGAATAATGGAGATTTTTCTCTGGATAGTGTCAGCATGTAGCCTGGAAGGGCTACAGATGGGTGCTCTGTACAGGTTGGTGGGTGTTCTGAGGGAAAATATCTACATATTTTGAGGAATAATATCAGCAGTGACAAAGAATGAGTCCTTAATCTTTCTCTTCAGGTTTGAGCACATTCTGGTTTTTGGAAAGAGTCAGAATGATATCTTTCAATTATTAGCTTTTTAGGACTCTTTGCTTATTTGTACTTCACTAATGGCTCTCAGGAAGAGGAAAACCTTTAGCTATAGATGGATTGCTTTTCCAGAATTATCTAAAGCCATCAGCCAGCACATGGCACTTCATCCTTGTTACTCAGGCTCTTCACCTTGTGTAACTATTGATATGCTGTCTTTACAGTCTTCAAGATCCGGAGGAGGCACGGGACCAATTTCATCTGGCCAGACTGAACTGCAAGAAATTTGCTTTTGTGCACGTGGCTTTTGCGCAGTTTGAACTGTCACAAGGTGCGTAGAAAAACTTGTTTGCCCTTCTGTGTTGTTGTAGGTTTTGTTGTTCTAAACTTCTGCTCTGTTACATAATTTGCAAGGAAACTGATAGGTGTTAAATCAGACAAAACATCTGGTTTTTCTTCTTTTTGATTGAAATTTAACAAGAACATGTGTGTTCATTTTTAATGAAAATATGTGCACAGTTCTTAATAGGTTTTTTCCTTTTTAGAAATAACTTTCAAACAAGATGAAAATTGGCAGTCATTTCTGTTTGGTTTTTTTTTTTAAACTTAGATCTTACAGTGGGAGGTATGAGTAAGGCTTTGGCTGCATTGAAAAATGATGCTCAAATTTGGGTGGTAATTTCCCTTTAGATACTTCCAGCTTGCTTGTGGAAGAAATTCTGGCTCCTTCCAGCAAACTAACTTCCAGCAAAGCAACTGTAGATTCTTTGTTTGTGGTTTTTTTTTTTTATTAAACCAAAATATGCTCTAAACATGTAATTAGGTCCAATTAAATTTTTTCCTCTGCCACTCATGTTCTTAGGTAGCTAGCAATTGTTTTTTAACTTTCGTAGCAGCTCATAGGATGCTGTGTTTTAGATCTGTGACTATAACAGTGTTGATAACACACCAGTGTTTTAGCAGTTGCTGAGCAGTGCTTGCACAGTGTCAAGGACTTCTGTTTCTTGGCCTCTCCTCTGCCCAAAGCCTGGGGGTGGGCAAGAGGTTGGCAGGGGATGCAGCTGGGACAGCTGACCCAAATTGGCCAGAGGGATATTCCATGCCATAAAGCATCATGCTCAGCAACAAGAAACCTTGGGGGTAGTCTTTCCACAGTAGCAGTTGCTCGGAGACTGGCTGGGCATTGGTCTGCAGGTAGGAGGTGATGAATGATTGCCTTCAAATCACTTGGGTGGTTTTTTTTTTTCTTGTTTTCTTTCACTTATTAAACTCTTTGAGTTTTTTCTTGCCTTTTTTCTTGCCTTTTCTCTTCCAGTTCTCTAGACTATGTAAGTTATACTCTAATATATCTAGAACAATAGGCCCTCAATACTTTGGGCCAGTAGCCCAGAAAGTTCACCTTGGCTTATGTCACTTCTTCCCTATTGTGTGTAGGGGAGGTGGCCCTGGTACTTGGTAGCAGGGTTGTGCTGCCTACCCGAAAATGTTTAGTGAGCACTGTATGCTTATTAAAAAAGATAATAAACCAGTAATACTTCAATAATAACGATATTGTCAAAGAAGTGTAATAAAGACAATCTATTGTGTAATTTAAATAAAGCATAGAAATGTTACTAGTGATTACCAATGACTAAATTAATCCTTCTATCACAATCACTTGTGAATTTAATTACCCTGTAGCTATGGGATGTGTTAATGCAATGATTTCTTTTACTTTGACAGCAAATAGTCAACCTGAAATGAAATTCTAATCCCTAAGGGATAAGCCATTTAAGATTGGCTTTGTTTTATCTCCAGTGTGCTCTCTGATTTGTATCTGTTACCCTTGAGCTGGTCTAATTGACATTTGGTAATGTGTATGGAGCTATAGTGTGGAGCTATAAGCTGGGTGCTTCAAAGAGGATTAATGTAACATGTGAGTTGTATATTGTTACTTTAAAAGTGCTGTTACTCTTTCACTGAGTGTGTCCAGCTTAGGTCAGAGGGAGAGGAGGAGGGTAGTGCTTTGTCACCTCCTCATCCCAGTCGTTTCAGCAGTTCTTTGGCCCACCTGTCAATTGCTTCTGGATTAATCTGTATTTCCCTTTGTATTAAGAAGAAAAAGTTAATTATACTTTTCACTTCCCTGTCTTAAGCAAAATTGTGAGCTAAAGCTCAAGTCAAAATTCTGAAATTATGGTTGGCAAATTGATATTTATTTCCTTATAAACTGAATATTCATGACCTGAAAATGGAGTGACACAATAAAGGTGGCATTCTGTTTTGTTTTTATTTAAATGCTGAATATATCTTCATTTAAATAGGTCAGATGAGGAGCTGTCTCTTCCTTACGTTTGGGGTGCCTTGGGTAGTGTGCTTGAAGCAGGATTTGCTGTGAATTGCTTGGAACTCACGACTGTAAATAAAACTCTGCTTTGGGCTATATAAAATGTTATGCCTAGGTGGGTCATTGAGGCTTTTGTATGTAATGAAGTGGACTGATTGGAAACTCACAGATACTTCTGGCTTTACTTTTGTGCCTTGGTCCCTCATCTGTTAAGGGGGATGGAGCAGTTCATTTTTCACATAGGTGTTTTGCTATCATGTTATTTCTTATTCAATGAGGCAATTAATACTAGGAGGAATTACTTTTAATTTTGAGTAGCAGGTCTTGTTGAAGCAATGTGTGGTTACTAAATATAGCCGGAGGTAGAATGCTGGTTAAGGATTCTTAAAAAGAAATACTAAGCCTATCCACTTGCTAAGGATTTGGGAGACAAATAGTATTTGATTATATGGTTAAAAAACAAGTCATGACAACTATGCACAAAATAGATTAAAATGAAATCATAGCCAATCTTGTTTTGGTGTTTCCTTGCTTCAGTGTCCAACATCACCATTTACTATTCTTAGAATAGGTTACTTAAGCATAAGTTCCTCATGTATACACCCCACCCCACCCAGTCTGAACTGCCGGTGACGCTGACATCTAACTTCAGTTATCAGTGGAGTTTTGAGTGCTGGAGACGACATGGAGCCCTGAAAAATGCTATTATATAGTATAAGAAATACGTAATTAGATATGTATGTGGCACCTATAAGAACAAAGTGGTTTCCATTTTGCTGCTTTGGAACTGAAGAAGGGCATTTGGGACTTAAAGGGCATCAACAGCTGTAACAAGACATGGCATCATTTTGCCCTGATGCTCTCTAAACCAAGAAAAAGACTTTTGGTTGCAGTACACTTCTTTCCTTATTTGACTCTTATGGTTTTTTTAATAGCTGTATGTGTACACGCCTATATATGTAAATTGATTGATTTCGATATGTTTTGTTAAAACATGCCCTCTTTCCCCCCAGTTCTCTTCAATCTCTGTTTATGGCATTTAGTAATGTGTAAAACTGTAATGAAACAATATCCTTCCTTTTCACTCGTCTTTTCTTAACTGTAGTGCTTTCTGGAGTAGTGATGTTTGATTTAACAACAGCTGGTTTTAACGTTGATTTCTACTAAGAGCATTAAAGGTGTTTTATAATGCATATGTAATAAAGTTTGTATCTGGTCAGATCGAAATGGAAGTCCATAAAGGTTGTCTTTCCTTGCTGATACTACAGAAAAAAATGGATTTTAGAATTTGTGTTGTATTTCCTTACAGTTCCCATAACACTAAACAAATACTGAGAATGCAGTTCTGTGAGTTTGTAAAGTGTATTTTGTGACTTGGGGTTCTACTTCATGTGAAAAATTGACTTACGTGATTCACTTGTAACTAGTTCCAGGCAGTATCTTTAAAGTGGATATCTAAGGGGGGAGGTGCCTAATGAACAATGGCTTCAGAGAATGATGCAAAGTGAATATAAGACAGCATGGATGTAATTGCATCTTTAAAAAAAGACCATGTTGCCCCAGTGTAATTGTTTTCTGTTTTCTGTTTCCTTGATTTCTAACTCTGTGTTCCTTACTATTTAGGAAACATGAAGAAGTGTAAGCAGCTCCTTCAGAAAGCTGTGGAGTGCTCTGCTGTTCCACTAGAAATGTTGGAAACTGCTCTACGAAACTTTCATGCACAAAAAAGGCAGTTGCTTTCAGATGAAGAGAAGGAGAACTTAGCAGGTAATTGTAATTTCTTAGAATGTTCGTTGAGTTTATGCATGTTGTGATTCTAGACTGAAAAATACCTTTCTAATGTTTGTCCCTTTTAGATACAAACTCATAATCTGCTATTGTCTAATAAACAATAAATATTTACCTATATTATCAGTCTTATTCCTTCAATATTCAGTTCCATCTTCAATGCAGCAAATATAGTTTGCAGGAGCCATAGGATGGCAGATTCTCTAATTCTGCAGAGTTCCTCTGACTGTCATTAGGTATTTGCGCTTTGTAATAGAGACTTACAGCTGAAAGTGTGAAATAAGAGCTACTGGTGGTAGAGAAGAATTAGAACTGAAACATACAGACTAAACTGTACAGATAGCTTACTTTGAGGTGTATCTTGTGACAGGCTGGTGAAGTTCTGGCAGTCGTATCAGTGAAGTCAAATCTAGGAAAAATAATCCATTTCAACTTTATATTTATTTTACAAATGGACAAAACTCATGTTATTTATCAGTACAAAACTGAAGTGCTTGGCTGTATCATAAAACATAACTGATACTGGATGCTGGGTATATAACTTCAGTAAGGGAACAGTTAACCTCATGAAGTTTTCAAGCGATAAATTTGTTTGGAGTGGAACTGAGTGAAAAACACGGTTCAACTTAAATATTGAAGTGCATGTAACTAACTCTTCCAAGAGTGGTGTCTAACGCTTCCATGTTTTTGCTTTGTGTAAGGACGGAATTAGTGCAAAATAGGTCTGATTTCATTTCTTTAGGGATATGTTTTCAGGAATGTGGTTTGAGATTTGGCTGGCTCCTGTTGAATCAACCTTTGTGTGAAACACTAGTTGGGGGGAAAAGACCCAAACATTTGGCAACACTTGCAATAATATTCAGTTATGGTATTAATTTTTTTAATAAACTTTTTATTTTTTGTCCTATTCTGTTTACCATTAATCGGATGTAGACATTGTAAGTGCCACAGCTGATGTACTGTGCCACAGGAGAATATCCTGTGGAATATCCGTCATGGATTGTACAATTTCTGTCTATTATTGGCTTTACTTGCTGCAAAGCTAAGGGAATACCTATGAGAGAATACATGGCAAAAACCTGTCTGCCATTTAGGAAGCAGTGAGCTTTGGGGGAAGAGTAGGCTCATTCATTATTTCATTTATATGAACTTGTAGCATTAGGTATTTGAAAAATGCGAAGTATTAATTCAGCTATTTGAAGATAGAAGTTTAAAAGGCAAGTAACACTAGACTTGAAATATCTCAAACTCAGGCCTAAATCACTGAACTTGGCTTTAAGTGCATTTGTGTGGTCCTTCTGGAGCAATAGAGACTGTTTTAATGTATAGGCATTTAAGTCTTGTCTCTTTCATGTGTCCATTTAAAGAGTTGCTTTTGAAAGCTTTTTATTCAAAAACAGGAATGCTGTATATGTAAATGCATTTCTTCACAGCTTCAAAAGATTGTTCAGAAAGCTTTTGACAAGAGTTATATGCAGTTGTAGTGTAGTGATGCAAATACAAAAACTGTGCAGCAAGTCTAGAAGCCTTTGGTTTAATTCCTTTTTCCCCTTTTTCATTCATGCATAGCAATCCAAAGTATTTGACATACCAGGTGCAATCAAACATGTTTAGTTGGGAAGAAATAATTTAGTACTTAAATATAGGTCATAGAATCGTTTTAGAATCATTTAGGTCGGGAAAGACTGTTAAGATCATAAAGTCCAATTGTAGTCATGGGTAGTATGAGGCAGATAGGCTGTCTCAGACTGTGAAGGAATAAAAGTATCATAGATCAGCAACTGAATGTGACCGTCAGTGGTAAGCTTGGGCAAAAAAAATCTTTCTGTGTATACGGAAAAAAGGAAAACGTGTGGGATGTGTGTGTGAGGTGGTGATGGTTCTGGATTAGTAAACTGCTAATTCAAAACTGTGTTCAATGTCAGTGTTATGTAAACAAAACCTCAGAACTACATTATACATTGGGGCATGTGTCTTATTTTATTTAACTGAGTAGTTTGGTCTATTGGCATAAGTAGCTTATAAAAAATTAAGGACTAGAAATAGCTAATACTGCAGTGTTCACCTGCCAGAAGTCTGGCTTCTGCTGGTGGAAGGTAGAAGGGGTACATGGGAGGATTCAAAATAAAAATCAAGTTTATTTTAATGAACTGATCCAGAATTTTACAATGTTAAGAGAAATGGTATATAAAAAAGTCCTTAAATTGTGATTTCTTGAGAGGCTGTGGATAGCCATGAATTCTTCTGTATATTGGTCAAGTGAATAATTTCCTATACTGATGGAAAACAAAGCCGATGTGATGTAGGAGATCATATTATATAGTGTCTTAGTTGTCTTTTTTCTTTTAAATACATGTTCCTTGGTGTCTGATTGTCTTTTAAAAAAGTATATCTTGTATAGTGGAAGAGATCTTTCTATCTGAATAATCAGATATTAATTTCAATTTTAGAAAGGGTTTGTAAGGAAAATAACTGAATTTAAGAGGTTAGTGTGTATCTGAAGGCTCTTAAAATAGCTGGTACTCCACAATGCTCCCTAAATGAACAGCTACCTTTACAATATAGAAAAGCTACCTTTCCTATATTGTAACACATGAACACAATGTGTTCATGAGCAGTTACTAAAGCATTGATGTATTTGCATTAGTGTATTCTGACTTCTCATGGTAATTTTTTCATCTCTGAGAAATGACCTTGCCTTCACCTCTAGGCAAAAATAGTTTGGATGATGACCATGTTGTTCTGAGCTGTTCATTTGTGGTTTTGAGGTTCTAGAATGACTTTTCAAATAACTTGATTTCTGGTTCTGCTTACTGTACTTTTTATATCTGAAATATATACTTTATTTTCACAAAGCTCATTAAGAATGTGACTAGGAGTTGACATTTCATTTTAAGACTAATGTACAACTTCATATAACTCTTGCCTGATCTTCAATAACTGAGCAAGATTCTCTCCTGGATTAAGGTGGGGCTGGTGAATGAGGTGTTTGCTATTGCCTGCCTTGATCTTCCCTGACCTGGCAGTAGCGTACAGTTTATAAGAGCACTCTCAAATTTGCTATCAGTGAAATCAATTGGTTTAATTTAACCCAACTAATTGCTTAGTCTAATTCAGTTGAATTTACCTGATATGAATTAGGGATTACTCTCGTAAGTGCCGAGTTGGCAGGGCAGTGAGGTGGAGGGACCAGCAAAAGGTCTGAGCTAGTAAATTCTTCAGCTGGTTAGTAGAGTTGGCTCTAGAAGGGAATGTGGCTGTGGCCTAACCGTTAGGAGGTTTGGAGGTAACTTTGAAATTTCTTTCAGCCTAGGATTTGTCAGTATGAAAACCACGTTTAGTAACTGAAATTGGGAAGCTTCTTAGTGTTTCAGTGACTAAAACTGTCTGTATTTAAAGTGCCCCACTTTCTAAGAGGGGGAAGGAGAATCTGAGGGAGAAAAACAAGTGCTTAGTTGATGATGGATAATCCTGGTGTCCTGATTCCTGTCTTCTACCTCTGACACAGTAGGTAGTTCTAGGGATTTAGTATGCAGCCTTCCAGAAATTGTACTGAAAAACCTGAAGGAGAAGGTATGCATGTGAAAGATTTACTTATTTATGTTGCGATTGCTACTTTTTTATAATTTTTGCTAGAACTGAAAAGGCTGCATGCTTTTGCAATTGCAGGCACCCATTAAATGCTTTAAATCCAGATGGATCTACAGAAACATAACTGAGGTAGCACAGAAATGTTGTATAAAAATGAAAAACCACAAAAATGAAGTCGGAGCCCCAAATCAAGTGTTCAACAGGAGCAGAACAGGAGAGGTCAGGGATATTATCAATACCTTGGGTCTCTGCAGTGGTAGGGAGTTTGTAAGAATTGTCTGTTGTACCTTTGACAGTTGTACCTTTGAGATACTACCTCTGAAACAAGCTGGGTTTTGACACTTAATTTAGGATTTATTATAGTTATTTAGGTGTGGGTGTCCTAATCACGTGTGCTGATAAATAACTGGAATAAACAACAAAAGAATCTAAATGTAAGCAGTTTTAAATCTCCTGAGGAGTCCTTGTGGAGCAAGCTTTGGAAGCATGCTTCGGATGATGCTGTTTTGGAGTGGAGGTTTATTCTCAGCACGTAGATTTGGAAAATCATCTTTCTCTGAAAGCACGGGTTTCTTCCTCCCTCCCCCAAGATACTATTTAAACTGGTGGTTTTAGTGCTTGTATTCTTCCTTCTGCATATAGGGTAAGATTAACAGTGAGGTTTTTCAATTAGAAGTTAAATTGTTAGTCTTTGGACATCTTGAATCTTTCTTTTATGTGTTTAAACATAGTTTACAACTTCAGCTGTGTAGAAAACAAGTAGCTTATATATTTAACAATTGTTACAGGCCATTTTGTGCTTATCCTGGAAAGCTCCTTCTGGTTGTAAGTCTGTGTTTGGGTTTTTTCTTTTTTCATCTGAATTATCATATCTCACATAATTATATAGAATATCTGTTTAGATCAGTAGAAAATAGTGATATATGTCATTGATACTAGATTACTGCAAATATATGTATTCTTAAATTTCACTTATGAAAGAACATTTCTTTTGAAACAAATATAATCGGCAGTATTATCTGAATAATTCTAACTAATTTACCTACAGTATCAAGTACACAAGAGTCTGGACTTCAGAGCATAGTTGGAAATCACAGAAGCATAAAAAAGAATGATTCTAGTGAAAATTCTTCTACTGTTACCAGACTTTCGCTTGGGTAATGGCTTGATTTCTTATTTAATTTTTTTAAAACATCATTTAAACCAAAACCAAACATGTTGTGTTTTGTTTTCTTTTTTTTTTTTTCTCCTTGCCTTCAGGGAGGAAAAGTCACAGGAACTTGATGCTCTAGTTAATTACCACAATCCATTAAGACCACTAAACAAATCTAACCAGGTAGAACATGTAACATTTTGCTTCGAAATCTTTAAACTCTTCATTCTGCTTTACACATCTGATAACTTTCAATTTGCTTTTAGGCCTGCTCCTTTGGGAGGGTTCCTGTTAAACTAGTAACTGATGCTGGTGATGATGTGAAGATGACAGATGTCCCACTTACAGCTAGTGTTATGAAGAGGTATGGTTATTGGCTTTACAGCACAACAGATTTTAACACTCCTTTTCAACAGTGTTTTTACTGGATAGTGGAAATGTCAGATGTTAAGAATATTAAAATTGATCTAAAGATTATTGACAAATAGTCATTATAATTGCAATAGGTATTGCAATAACCTATTTCCTATCTTACTACTCAGATTCTTTGTATGAGAGTATGCAAAGATAAATTTCTTGTTCTGGCTAATCAATAGGCTCAAAAGAAATGGAGACTAAGGCAAAAATAAATTTTGTTCAAAAGAAATTTACATTTGTATGTTCCAGTTTCTAAAATTAGATATAAGGCAGTCTTGCAATTTCCAAAAGATTTTTAAATCCTCACTTTTAACATAATCCATATGATAACCAATATATTAAGAAAGTGGTTATGCTCATTTTATTGTGAATTACTGCTCAGCAGTGGAAGAATCTGCCAACTAAAATAGCATTTTGCTATGTTACCTGACTGTAGCGTAGCATGAAACAAAACAGAGGAGAAAGCTTTGCTCCCTTCTCCCCAATCAAGTCTGTTATGCTAACTTTCTTCCTCTCTTGTTGCTTTATGATTAAGTTCATGCAGAAATGGGAACTTTGGGAAGAAATCTGTAACCAAAGAGTAAAAACTGCATACTTAGCCTCTCAGAAGTTAGTTAAAGCCCAATATTCTGAATCTGTGAAAGTAGTGGGATAAGGTATTTCACATAATAGTATTGTTCTGTAACTATTTCAAAATTTACTTTGGAACACACCATTGGGTTTTAGGATCCTAGGTGTAGCTTATTACTGTTTTCTATGGAAGACAACCAATTAAGTTGTGTCTCCATTTCATAGGATGGTGGTGGCATTGTTACAGATTTTTTTTTTTTTATTGTTTCCTACTTGTCTGTCAGAGTGGACGTGCTTTTCTGTATATTTGAAACTTCTATCCAAAAGTCTTCACACAACTGTCTTTTTCATTTGGTTCACAAAAGGCAATCACTGCATTATATGTTGGCATGTGATGTAATTAACAATGTTATTTCAACAGGCAAATATCCGGCTCCAAATGTATAGGCTTCATTGCACCTTTTCTACCATCAGAACCAAAATCTACTGGGGGTGATTCATATGACCTGGCAGACTTGCAGGTAACTTAAATCTTTTAAAAACAGATATAAGGAACTCTACCTGGCTATCCTATGGTATCAGAAAGGAAAATAATATTTCTTTCTTAAAAAAAGTGTTAAGGTAGGATTTCTTTATGTTAAGTAATCAGTTGTGAATAGAAATGTTCATTGTGGCTTTTAAATTTTAAAATTGTTATGCATAATCAGGTATTAAGAGCTTTCTCTGAACAATACAGCTGATGGGAGAAATAGGGGGTGTTAAAAATCTGTCATATGATTTATGAAGAGGGGATAAACATTTCATCTTGACTACAGGAGCTCTTTCAGCTGTAGTGATGAGTTTTATCATGGGAAGTACACTATTCAATGAAGTCCATTTAACTGAGTTCATCAAGTGCTCTATGGAACTGTCAATTATGGCTTTTGATAGACATTAACTTTGAGCTATGCCTTGCATTTTCGTGTCCTGTGTCCCTAGCCTGTAAAAGAAAATTCAAGAACAGAAAGCATTTAGGTCTTTCTTATAGAAACGGTATGATGGAAATTCAGAGTGTTGATGGATTTTAAAAACAGTATCAGTAATACTTGTCTGTATACCCTGCATTGTTCTCTGAAGCATATTTGCTTTGTGGTCTGTCGGTCATTTAATTACCATAAGGAAATGTCTTTTGGACACTATGCTAGGGATCTGCTTTGATTCTTTTTATGATGCTTTTTGAGTTTTTTTGTTTGTTTTAGTCCTTGCAAGAAAAAAATTCTTTACAGTTGCAGATGTTGGATGAGAACAGCTTAGAAACAGCTACCAATTCAACTGTAACTCTCAAACCCAAAATGGATACAAGTCTTGCAATGAAAAGAGAAGGTAACTATTAATATGTGATGTTTTAGTAGTTTGAAATGGAATAAGTATTGAAAATTTACTGTTCTTTATTTAAAAAAAAAATGCATTGCTAAATAAAATATTCTTCAAAAAGTGAAAAAGTTGGTCTGCTTGGAATTGAGGAACATTTAACTAAAATTTGGCTTTTGAATGGTACCTGTGAAAGTAGTAAAAAAACCCACAGTCAAACAGAAAACTGCACCAAAGACGAAAACCCACAAAAATCCCCACTGCAACACTGTCCAAAAGCGTAGAGTGCCGGGCTTGAAGTAAAATGCCAATGTATAGTGCGAATTCATTATGTCCTTAGCTCTTACAATACACATAACATAAATAGGTATTGACATAGCAACAGTGCAAGGCTTCAGATTAAGACTTGCCAGCCTGAGTGTAGAAAAATGTTGCCAGAGTATCAGATAATAGTGCTAGTTTATACGAGGAAAAAAAAAGGTGGATGTTGGCTGAGGGAAATTCAGACTAAGGATTATAATGTTCTTGAGGGGTAGTCTGTTCAGATTTTTTTGAGACAGACTCAAATTATAGTAGGTTGCTTCTCCTGTGACTTTCCTTGTATATGCTCCTAGCTTACCCTATAGATGCCATAGCTCTAATTTCTTTTGTTGAAGTTTAATCTGAGATTGTTTTGGCTGAAGGAAGCTTAAAAAGGTGAGACCATGACACTTCTCACTTGGAAAAAAAGTGCAAAGCTCCCGCAATTCTCTCTGAATGCAGAACCTCTGTGTCATCCGTTGCTTTCAGCACTCTGCTTTCTATCCAGTTTACCCATTAGTACATGAAACTCTAGGTAGCTTTTTCTGCTGCTGTTTACATATCAGAGACTATTTATCCTGTTAGGGTTGTTCATGTATCTGAATTATTTGTTTCTGCTTTGGTCAGGCTTCTCTTGTCTTTTTCTTGGTTTCGTCTGTTAAGTACCTATTGTCTTTGGTCAGCTTCACTGCCTCATGGACATTTACTTCTAAAATGTCTTAAATTTATGACACTTTAGGCCTTTCTTAACTTGTTGTAATATAGTGTTTTCCTCACCTGAGTTTTACCACAGCATATGTACGCATCTTAATTTTGGGCAAAGTATAAAATAAATAAGCTTTTTTAATGTCATAGTTATTTTCTTATGAGATTTCCCAAAAGTATGAAAACTTTGTCAAAAGGCAAATTGTTGTTTGCCCCTTTTTTCCTACGTCCTGCAAAAAAAAAATTTTTTTTCACTGTTCTTTCCGTATACTCAGTGTAATCCAATTGTATGAACTTGTACTGCAGGGATCATGTGAATGACACCTGTACTAAATAAATGTGTACTCTTCAGAGACTTAATAAATTTCAGTGTCAATCAAATGCACTGTTACTCTTTTGATTACTGTAAATGCTCTTGCTTTAAACATGGTGTTTCAGCATTAACTGTATTGTTCCTTGTGCTCCTTGATTTTTCTGTAAAGATAGCACATGATGATGCTTCTGTCTAATTTTTAGAAATTCTATTTTTAAGGAATCTTAAGTTTTTCTATCATTTGAATGGCTGAGATTCTTATTGCATTATTAACATACTTTTGGGGAATGATTTTTAACTTATTTTAGAAACAGACATTTTTGGTGTATTCCAGAAATAACCTAAGCTCTAATTAACTATTTATCTAATACATGGAGTTTGACTATCGTATGAAGTCACCTCATGACATAGAAATAGGGGTGATGTGAGACCACCTTACATTGTGGTCTTTCTGGGAAATGTTATAAACAACTCAGATTTATAGCAAGTATTTCAGGGCTGGTAAAATTTAGAAGGTTACTACTGACGACTTCACACCAACACAGTGGAATATGGGATACCCGTACTAATCTTTTACTTGCCACTTCTGTATTTCATCAGAAATCTAGTTGGCTTTCTGATTGCTTTTTTTCTGCTGAAGAAATTAAGTGAAAATGTCTAATAATATTGCAAGAGTTGGATTTAGGATTATATACATACCTATCTATTGTAAGAAAAATATTTAATTTGAAAAATGGTGATTTTTCAACTTCAGTGTCCCCTCAACCCCCCAGCAAAACCTTTCCCATTGACTTGCATTGGGATCAGTTTGGGTTTCAGGTCATACTTTCACTGTTTGTGCCTGCCAGAGTAGACGCTGGTTGTAGTAGCTCAGTCCTTCAGTAGCTGAATTGCACTCAACTTCTGCTTAGCATGGGATACTGCTTTCTAGTCATTTGAAAACAAAACTGAATGAGCACGTGAAGGAACACTCTTAGGCTGTGTTATTTGCAGCATGCCCTGCAATCTTCCACCAATTCAATGTCCTATTACCTCTGCAAAAGGAACTATGAGATGGAGCATGCCTTGTCCCTTTATGCCTCTGGCTTCAGTCATTACATTAATAGGCTGCCTATTATCACAGACAATAGACTTCTAATTTGAAATGTTGCAATAAGCTTATCTTAAATGCTTTATAAACCTGCTCAGTGTCCCAGTTATGTTGTAGTACAAATGATGAATATGATCTTTTTGTGTGTTGAAGGAAATAGTTGTATCTCTACTACTGTTACAGTAGTATCCTCAAATTTTGAAGAAAGTTGTCATGTTACTACACTGAACTGAATACGAATCCTGAAGATTACATTAATGCCTTTTAATGCCTGATTCCAGTAAGTCAACCGTGTTGATTTGTTGATTTATTGTGATATAGAAAGCGAGGTAAAATTCTTCTAGAAACTGTGAGATAAATCTGCCAGAAACTGTGTCAAATACTAAATATCAAGTCGTCTTAATACTCTGATTTTTTTTTTTTTTTTCCAGAAAAAGTCCAGCATCAGAAGCTGAAGATACCAGAGCCAAGGAGTCTGGAAAGTCAGCAGCAACAATCTAGTTCTGGTGAAAGCTATAGAAAGCAGTTGGATCAGATTAAACTGAACTGTGTCAACTCCAGAAAAAAATGGCCAATTCAAGAAGCGACACAGAAAAGCTGCTATAGAGAGGTAAAGTAACAGGAATATGTAGTGGTTTTCTTCCTGCAGCAGCTTTCACATGTCAAAAAAGTGATTTTTGTGTTCTTAATTGTGGTTTCTTGTGTGCAATAGTATCTTGCTTTGCCCTCTGTAGGGAAAACAATCGAGCCTTGAACAATCTGGTCATCCTGTTTCAAGAGGTCTATCACCACCAGATGCTGTTTCTAAGAAAAGTGATCCATTGCATGTTTGTGGAACACCAAGCACCACATATAATGACTATATGGACTGGTAAGCCACTTCTTTGAGCTGTACCTCATGAACAGTAGTCGATCTCTTGAAAGACTTTCAGCAGTTTTTAACAGGGTTTCTTAAGCTTTTCTGTTCAGATAGCAAACAAGATTTCCGAGTGCTTTCAACACTTATTGTCAAGTGCCTGACTTGAAGTTTCAGATTGCATTTAGGGAACTTTTTCTTCCCTGTCAGCTTTTCAGCATTTGGAAGTACACCATCAAATCAATAAGTCCTTATTACAGCACTTACCTCTTTCTCTGATCCCTGCTACACGACACTTTCGGATGCCTTGTTTTTTGTGGCTGACAGGCTTTTTAGATCGATAAGTGTGGTTTCCATGATGCAAGTGCCTGTGGGTTTTTTAAAAAAAAAAAAAAGCGTAAGGAATCGAGAGGCTTGCAGAACCAAGCACTCAAGTTAGGAAATGCTAGCATTTGTTTATCCATGCAATCTTAAATTAGGCATAAACCCCAGTGCATATGTTGATAAGTCTTTCTAATTATATGATTACTTACTATTTTGATAAGTCTTTAGGATGAATCATATAGGTCAAGGCTGTATGATAAGTAAGCACTGTCCCTGTTGGTAAGGCCTATGTCTGTGTAGCTGTAGAATTTAGAATATATGTAGTGAATGAAGCACATAATCTCATGATGGAACTTGATAAAAGTGGTCCTTGAATAGATTCTGTTCTTGCTTCTTTCAAACATGGATAACATGGAAATTTTTAAAAAATTAAATTCTCATTACACACAGTATGTATGGCACAGTAAATACGCAGAATTGTTGAGTGCTTTTTGTGTTCAGTGAGAACCATGTTTTTGACTGGTTTTGACTGTTTTTTTCAAACTTTTGTCATTTTATTTTCTACAAAAAAGTCCTAGGTATATAAATTCTTTTCCAGTTCTGATCTTAACATCAATTTCTGTAAATACTGGGAGGGGGGGAAAGTATATTTGGTAATATAACTAAATATATGGTAGACACATCAAGGGAACAAATCAAAAACCACAAGATTTCTTGCAATCTTTAGTTTTCTTAAATACGTGATCTTTCCATTCATATACAGTCTAGCTAAAGCTCCCAAAAAAACCTCTCATGATTGACTTGAAGTTGTTTGTCTCAATACCCCACTTAAAAAGGAAAAAAAGTCTCTCTTCACTAAAAAGGTCTTGAATAAAGAACAATAAGCTAAAGAAAACTAACTGTGGCTCAGACTATGTTGCTGTCTTATGGTCAGCTCTTCTAGTTATATGGTGCTTTCATTTTTCCAGTTTGTGGGGAGTGCCAGCTAGTATCTGAAGATGGGGATTTAATTAGTTACTTATGAAATCTTACTTAAAACAGTATGTTATAGTTTAATTGTACTTCTAAAGGACTTCTAAGACAAGAAGTTGAAGTGATCTTAATGCTAATTATTGAATGTAGCAGAGGCTTGGGCTTTTGCTAGACAATGGGGTTTAACTTGCAAGAAGGACTGAGGATTTCAACTTTGTTGTTAGCTGTATTTTTTTTAAAGATTATTCTAAATGCCGATATTGTTCATAACTTCCTTCAGTTTCAGAACGCCAGTTGTAAAGAACAACTTTCTACCAGGAAGTCAAATTTCTACTCCCTACAGCCAGCTCCCATATTTCGTACCACATACTCCAGCAACTCCATTTCAAAATCAAGTTGGCTTGCAGGTAACAATTTTAGGGTGTTTTCTGCCATCTTTCAGTACATATTTTCATTGAAGACTCCTTTAGGTTGAATATATATATTTTTAATCTACAGTTGCTGTTCATCTTTCTGGATGAGTAATGCAAAATAGTCTGTATTGCTTATTCTCAAAATAACTGTTCATTCATATGTATGTCTGAGTTTAGGTAAAATAAGTCACCTCTTGAAAAATCAGTTCAGTTGTGTCAAAATCCTGAAGCCTTTATGTCTGAAATCTAAGCTTTTTCAGATCCTGCTTCATGACAGAGGCAAGAACTAGAGTCACTATTTTTGTTTTGCTATGCTTCTGTAGTGGTACTACGCACTACAGCGGAGTACCCAGAAAGAGAAGCAGTGTGTGTTAGAAACCATAAGAGTCTGAGGGAGGTAAAAGAATGAAGCATTACATTCCTTCTCCATTTTGTTAGATTTCACAAATTTTGATGCGTTTGTAGTGGCCTGAAATCATGTAAAAATGGATTACCTTAGATGGGTTGCACATTCAGCTAGGAATCTTCCCAGTTGTAGATAGAATTGGGGGATAGGTTTAGGCTTCCTACAAGAGGATTAATATTTAAAATTTGTGGCTGTTCTACAGCTTGGTACGGGCAATACAGGCTGTTGCAGCTTCACAGCACTGAAGCCTGCTAGCTAGTAGTTAGCTTCAAATCAGGTGATTTGAGTACAGCTCTTAGTTGCATGCTGTGACTGGAAGTCTCTTAGTCTAGTTTCCAACATTATCTGTAAAGAGAGAGGTGTCTCTAATGAGCTGAGAAGCCTTATTAGAGAACACCCTGTTCTTGATTTCCAATGTGAAGAGCATTGGTATCTTTTGTAAGAGTTCAAGGATGTGACATGCCAAGTGATGATCATTATACAGATACTTTTGTTATGGGGATCTTTAGCTTTCAAGAAAAACATATTTGAAGTTTAGCTTTACTGTACTTTATCTTGTTCAGAAAGACCGAGACAACTTAAAGCATATTAACTTAATAAAAAGTAGAGGTCTACCACGTTCTGCTGTTATTTTCTTAACTTTTTCTGTATGTACACAGGTTCCAGCTTCTATACCTTCACATGAATGTCTTGCCATCAAAGGAAGAGTTTATACAATATTAAAGCAAATAGGTAGTGGAGGCTCAAGTAAGGTAAGATGCTCTTTTGTCCTTTGAGAGAGTCACTCATTTACACAGTAGGAGTTGTATTGTAAACATACATGGTGAAGTCATCTAATACGGAGTGCTGAGTACTAACATGTACAAACTGTGAAGAAAAGTGACAGTGTGAGAAGAGCGACCCAAAGAATCAAGAAATTTGTTGTTTTAATGCTACGTTTAGACTTCATCCCTCATGGATGCAGAAGAAACATAGTGCACAGATTAGATTTGGTACGATGCTGTTTTATCTGCGTCTTCAGATAGCCAGCAATAATAACTGAATTAATGTCTTATTATGAAAATGATGCTTCAATTATTACAGGATGTTAAACACACTAGTGTTCATTTTTGTGGACAAATAAAGTAAAAACATTAGGTAGATAAAGGCCGGGGTGCTGAAGTAAAGAATAAACAGTGAACAGAAACTCTGAACAGATGTGGTCGGAACACTGAGCAGAAGTTAAAGAAATAGGAAAAAGTGATCGCCTAACTCTCACGGGCATCTAAAAATATCACTTAAATCAGTAAACAATGGTGGGAGCCCACTTCCTTTTGGTTTCTGCATGAAGGCCTGAAGGTAGATTGTGTATGCTCTTGAAGATAACAATTTCTATGGTGGAATAAGTATTAAAATTCCTAATAAAATCAGCTGTTCTGTTATAAAGAGGTATGCTGCAGTATTGCTGTACGTCTTAATGTGAGAGGCTATTGTTTAGGGCAGTGTGATTACATTGTTGGGAAACACATGGCTTGTAAGGTTGGTTGAATGTTCCTGAAGTGGACAGACCATCCCTTACTACTGAAGTCTTCTGTAATTTGTGTGGGAAGTGGAGTGTAAGTATGACTGAAGTGGTGAGTGAGCTGCTTTTTATAAGGAAAAATGGGGTCATAGGAGCTTGAGAAACAGCTTTGGCAAAATTTCTTGTTCAGAAGATAAAGAATTATAACAAAACCAACATAAGCAGTTTTGCATGAGTTAAATTTCTCTTCTGTCTGCTTTCTTCTGTCTCCCACACCTCTGCTTCACCTGTATGCTTCTGTCTGTGAAGACTGTTACTAGTCACAGGGACAGCCTAAGAGTTTGTGTAAGGGAAACTTGATACATGCACACACTAATTAATTAATCAATCCTTAGTAACATTCTATGTAGTACTTAGTCAGCAGCACATGGAAAGTGAAATGGTTACTTTTAGTTAATGAGGCATGCAGTGAAATATAAATTGATACTTAAATGATAGCATTTCTATGTAAAACTATTTTTTTAAAGTATCCTTTTCACTTGCCAAAAATTGCCCGGAAAGCTTAGTTAGAGCTGGTTTTAGAACTGAGTGTCTCTAATCTTATCCTTAAGTTCAATCCATTAAATCCCCTGGTGTTTTGTTTTAAATGCATGGACTTCCCTGAACAGGCCTTAAATGCCTGAGATGGTACTTAAGATTGACTTTGTTTTGTAGCTTTTCAATTTTTTAAATTAAAAATATTTGATAGTTGTGAAACTATAGATTTCATCAGTAGCTTAATTGAATGGAATGTGCTCAAGCTCTCATGTTGCAATTACCATGCTCACTTAAAATAGGCTTCTTCTTCCGCAAAACTGAGGGGTGCAGAGGTGTCATCTTAAAAAGTGACAAGTACTGTCAACAGCATGTATGCTTCATTGGTTTTCAGGTATCTTACAATCCAGTAAATAGTCACAGAAAATAGGAATAGAACTTTGTTCAAAAATCTGTGTATGTCTAGATTTCAAATATTTAAACACACTTATTTAATAATATTTATTTAGACTTGGCTTATATTTATGACCCTTTGTGCCTACTTTTTATTTTGGTTTCATGTTTGCATATGCAGGAGCTGACAGAACCAAAGTGGTACTGAGCAATCAAGCTGTGTGTTTTCTAATGATAGAAGAAACAGTCCGGGTGTGTCATAAGAGATGGGAAATTGGTTTTAAATGTTGCATATCTTACACAATTATGTTAATCCAGAGAGTAATAAAATGAAAAGAATAACAGAATAGAATAAGATATTTCAGTTGGAAGGGACCTACAATGATCATCTGCCTGACCAATTCAAGGGCTGACCAAAAGTTAAAGCATGTTAAGGGCGTTGTCCAAATGCCTCTTAAACACTGACAGGCTTGGGACATCGACCACCTCTCTAGGAACCCTGTGCCAGGGTTTGACCACCCTCTCGGTAAAGAAACACTTCCTAATGTTCGGTCTAAACCTCCCCTGGCACAGCTCTGAACCATTCCCACGCGTCCTATCCCTGGATACCAGGGAGAAGAGCTCAGCACCTCCCTCTCCACGTCCCCTCCTCAGGAAGCTGTAGAGAGCAATGAGGTTGCCCCTCAGCCTCCTTTTCTCCAAACTGGACAAGCCCAAAGGCCTTGGCTGCTCCTCGCAGGACATTCCTCCCTTTCACCAGCTTTTCACATCCTTCTTAAAATGTGGGGCCCAGAACTGCACACAGTACTTATGGTAAGGCTGCACCAACGCTAAATACAGTGGGACAATCACCTCCTTTGACTGGCTGGTTACGCTGTGTTTGATGCACCCCAGGATGCGGTCTGCCCTCTTGGCTGCCAGGGCACACTGCTGACT